CTATTTCCATTTTTTTTAAATTAGGGATTATTAATTTGTGTTTCTCAATCTGATTATTTATTTAAGTTTCACCCTTAAACTATGGGTGAAGTATCTCTCTGTGGTCTCCACCTAGTCTTCTTGCAGCATTTCCTATCTCAGTGAAAAGTACTACCATCCAAGCAAGTTGCTGTGTCAGAACTGTCAGCTTTGATGCCTACATTTCCTTGATTTTTTTTCCTATGGTCTCCTGAACCAAACTATACTAAGTCCTGTTAAACTTACCTACAAAATACCTCTCAAATACAGGGCATTCTCATTTAACAACAAAGCACAATAAGACTAATTTTGCCATCAGCTAACTGATACAAATAAGAGTTAAATTCTTTTTTTTTTTTTTTTTTGAGACAGAGTCTCACCATGTCACCCATAGTAGAGTGCCATGGCATCACAGCTCATAGTAACCTCAAACTCTTGGGCTTAAGTGATTTTCTTGCCTCAGCCTCCCAAGTAGCTGGGACTACAGGCACCCACCACAACGTCCAGCTATTTTTTGTTGTTGTTGCAGTTGTCATTGTTGTTCAGCTGTCCTGGGCTGGATTCTAACCCACCAGCCTAGGTGTATGTGGCCAGCATCCTAACCATTGAACTATGGATGCCACCTAAGAGTTAAATGCTTAAGGCATATTTCTGGTCATAAACACATAACCAAACTTCTAAATAAAGACCCAAAACATTCCTAATACATACATAGTAAAATAAATGTGAACTATTTACACACAGATTAATATAAATGAGTAAGATAATTATTTACCCCAATTTTTTTTTTTTGAGACAGAGTCTTACTTTGTCACCCTGGGTAGAGTGCCACGGCATCATAGTTCACAGCAACCTCAAACTCTTAGGCTCAAGCAATCCTCTTGCTTCAGCCTCCAGAGTAGTTGAGACTATAGGCACCCAGCTGGTTTTTCTATTTTCAGTAGAGAGAGAGTCTTTCGCTCAGGCTGGTCTTGAACTCTTGAGCTCAGGCGATCCACCCTCCTCAGCCTCCCAGAGTGCTAGGATTATAGGCATAGACCACCATGCCCGGCCTTTACCCAATTTTTTTATGAATCAATGAGTAATGGAGGTTGTGATAATGAGTTAAATGAAGGAATAAATGTTTGCAAAGTGAAAATTGTAAAGAGCATGTCATATCACTACACAGTTCAAAAACAAATATGGTAGAACCTATATACTTGACCCCTCCTTAAGTTGACCTAACTTCCACAGACCAGACATGTACTATATGTAGCTATCAGTGTAGTAGGCCTAGTTCCTTATGTTGACCATTTTGTTTCAGTCCCTTGGGTGGTCAACTACAGAGGTTACAATGGGCTCACTGAGCCCTTTCATACCACATCATTTGTTGTTGCACATCTGCATGATAATTGTGCATCTGTATGCACAGCATCTGTATCATATGCTTTATTTATTTCAGAGATGGGGTCTCACACTGTCACCCAGGATGGAGTGCAGTGGCATAATCACTGTTCACTGAAGCCTCAAACTCCTGCAGTCATGTGATCTTCCTGCCTCAGCCTCCCAAGTAGCTAGGACCACAGGCACATGCCACCATGCCTGGGTAATTTTTCTTATTTTTTTTAGAGACAAGGCCTTACTATGTTGCCCAGGCTGGTCTCCGACTCCTGACCTCAAGTGATCTTCCTGCCATAGCCTCCCGAGTAGCTGGGACTATAGGCATGAGCCACTGCGCCTGACTCAATCTTTATTTTTTAATAATCTGCATTCATTCATTCATTCATTTTGCAACTCACTTATTCCATTTCTGGGTCATGGGTGGCCAGAGCCTAACCCAGCGGCTCAGGGCAAGTGACAGGAACCAACCCTAGACAGGACACCACTCCATCACAAGGTGCACTTACACACATGCTCATACTCACACTGGGACAATGTAGACACACCAATTCACCTAATGTGTACATTTCTAGCATTTCTAACCTGAATACCCAGAGAAAACCCACACAGAGATGGGGAGAACATGCAAACTCTACCCATACAGTGGCCTGGCCCAGCAGCTTTTTTTCCCACTCATCATTATAACAAAATAACATTGAACAAAATGACATTATTCAAGGATCTGTTGCAGTCCACTTCTCTCTTCTTCCACCATCTCTAATCTTAGCAACCTTTATCTTTCAAGAGGACTGCAATTGTCTTTTTTTGTTTTAATTTTTTATTTTTAATTATTTGGGGACATATAAGCAACTGTCTCTTAAATAGTCTTAAGTGGTCGACTCCAATCCTTGGACGCTTCTCGTATAGTTTTTCCACACAGCAGTCAGAATGATCTTTGCAAAATGCAAATCTGATAATGTCATTCTCTATCTTAGCCTCCCACTGTTTTAGTATAAAAATCAAAATTGGTGGCTCGGCGCCTGTGGCTCAAATGGCTAAGGCGCCAGCCACATACACCTAAGGTGGTGGGTTCGAATCCCCAGCCCGGGCCCGCCAAACAACGATGGCTGCAACCAAAAAA